TGACAGTAGCTTTACAAAATCTCTCATGATAACTTTTTCTAAGAATATTTGTATCTTATATGGCATTCTTCAGTTTCCATCTTTCCAGCTACCAAAACCTGTGTTTCAGTTGGTTTTATTCTCACAAGCTTGTCCTTTCATTCTGATTGCTATTCATTGGTTCAGGCACAACACTAATGGAGATTTTGCCACAAGCAAATGTGATGCTTGTTCCAAATGTGTTAGTGGGTTTTGTTGATCAAGATATCATCGTGATCATCTAGAATTTCTGACAATGGGAATTAATTCTTAGAAGAGACTTTCTGAAGTAGTAAAGAGAGTCAAGAACACAGTTCAAATTGGAAAATGGAGAGCAAAACCCTGAACTTGGTCACAAAGCTAATGCTCATCTATATAAAATATATTAAATTAAAAAACAAACAAGTAAAACAAATGAGTTTGCTTCCAGTAGAATTTGCAGTGCTAAAGCCATGAGCTTTCTTTGAAAATCTGCTTCCACCTCTGATCTTGGCTATCTTTCTCAGCAATATAGTGGTTTTTAAAGCAAGACCTGTGTTCTTACAGAAGTATGTATGTGAGCAGATCCCCATGTGTATGATTAAATGCACTGTAACTTCACAGCTTCCATAATATGGGGGAATTCACCTGAAATAAGAACACTTTGAAAAGGAATTATGGAGGAAGTAAATTATTAAACAAACTTGCAATATGACAACAAATGTCAGTGCAGCCCTTTGGAGTTCTTTTGACTGTGTTGTAGGTAACTTTGGTTTGTTTCTCACAGAGACCTAATCTTGGATGGCTAGAACTTCTCCGAAGAGCAGCTGGATTTAGTTAAATACTAGAACCACTGCTGATTCAATTTCATCCTCCAACATGACCAATCCTCAGTAAGTACCGCAAGAGAATAGTTATAACTTATTGTAAATAGAAGGGAATAGGTTGCTACCTGGAGCAGAATGATGTTGTGACATCAAGAGGATCACTGGAAGGAAAAGTTGATAGTTTGAGAGGGAGTAGTGGAATTTGTTCAGTTGTCTAAAGTGTGAATTAGCAGAAAAAAAACATGAGTGCTGTAAACTGTCCCAAAGCTGTTTGGCAACACTGGTCTGTTGTTTGGGGTTTTTTTTCTTTTCATTCAAATCACAGATTCACAGAATGTCAGGGCTTGGAAGGAACCTCTGAAGACCATCTAGTCCAACCCCCCTGCCAGAGCAGGATCACCCAGAGCAGGTCACACAGGAGCACGTCCAGGCAGGGCTCCGGCACCCTCACAGTAAAGAAGTATTAAATCAGACAATGTCTTTTATTCTGTAAGAATACAGAAAGTAAATGCTGTTGGGAGAAGGAAGGCTGCACCAGCACATTTCCTTTATAATACTGGAAATTAGATCGCTGTATGCTCTTTCGTGCAAAACTGAACCAGCTTAGACTTGTAAGGGTGAATGTCCACAGGATAGCACTAAAGGTGAAAATCAAAGAAAGAAAATTCCTGCTAAAATTAGCTCCTCCCTCAGGGCTTCTGATTCGTATTGTTTACAGCGGAATTCAGTGCAGTTGGAAGTGAGTCTCATTACTTTCCATTATTAGTCAGACAAAGACTAAAATAAAGGAAACCTTTAGGTTGTTCAAATAGTACTTCCTTTTACCTTTCTGCTGTAGGATGACACAGTTTCGGCCTTTCCCTGCCAAGTACTTGAGAATTAACAGCATTTTCCGATTTTTAAAATTACTTTACTGTGTAACGCTGGCAGCAGCCGGTAAACTAATTCCTTTTAATTTAGAAATAATGTTTTCCATCCAAAAGGCTTGGTCTAACGGTGAAGCTCTGACCAATAGAATCTTTCTCTTTCTTGTAGATTTTTAATTCCTTCACCCATATCCTTAAACTTACAAGATGACTGAGTTAAGAATTCTTCTAAATTACTTGGGGTTTTTTGTGGAAAAAAAATGAACTGTTATTCAGGTTACTTGAATAGCTGGAATATTTTAATAAGCTTTAAAACAAAATCACCAGTGCAACTCTTGTAAGTCAAATAACAGAAGGAAGTTGGCTGCTAAACACTTTTTAACTATAACCTTAAGGAAAAAAGAGTATCTTCACACCTGGTGTTGCAAACTTCTAACGAGTAGCCTGAGGTTTCTTCAGAAGTTAACAAGCTCCCCTGGATGAAAGCTGGAGAAGTTCATGCTTGCACCTACTCTGAATCAAGTGAAGCAAGCGGCTTTCACTGGCTACTGCAAAGGATCAATCCCTGCTGAGGCTTCACATGCAGGCTGTCTCCTACAATGAAGTCATCCTTTGCATGCACTAGATAATATGCTGACTGACAAGGCCTGAGTTTCTAGATAGGTAGTATCTTGTTGTAAATGTGAAAGACATATGTAGTCAGACTCTGCATGGAGCTCCCATTAGGGTTAGTGGGCCAGTAGAAGAATACGTGTTCAGATTTGGAAGCCGTACGTAAGGGTAGCTAAGATAATCTTTTACAGAGGAGTCTATAATTCTTCTGAATCAGTGTTCTCCTTTCAGAATTATTTTGAAATGATCTGTTACAAAATGATCCTTTCTAGTTGAATGAAACAATCACCATCCATCAAAACTATGTGAATATTGACCTACAGCGGAAGAGGGGTCAAATTGCATCTGTTTTATAACAGTTGATCTGTATACAATGATTAGTAAGCTTAGCTGTTCCTTGCTCACTGATCTAACTTGTGAAGCAGTGAGTTGTTAGTTGGCATGGTTCTATGCCTTCTTTCTGTTTTGCACAAATATTTTACTTTCAAGTTCATACATTGTTTCCATATTTGTTTGTTTGTTTATAACACATCCATTTATATTTAGTGCTTTTGAAGCTGATTGAGCAGGGTGAAATTCTGTTCTTCCTTGTCTGTGAGATTTCTGTTGATGGCAATGGGATCTATGAAAAACAAGTTTGGAGAGATGTGGTCTGTCCTCTCAGTGACCTTCCAAAAGCCTTTTAAGTTGCTGGCTTTTTAGGATTCTGTGAAGTCCTTGTTGCTAACTTATTTTTACTTGCTTATTTATTTGTTTGTTTATGTGTGTATGTAGAGAAGAGGGGTTTTTATTTTGCTTATTACATTTTCAGGCCTACAGTAGAAGGAGGTGTTTCAGAAGTTGAGATAATTTCACAACAAGTGGAAGAAGAGACCAAAAGCATTGCCCCTGTACAGCTTGTTAATTTTGCTTATCGAGATCTACCTTTAGCTGCGCTTGATCTGTCTGTGGCTGGGTCCCAGCTTTTGTCAAATTTGGATGAAGAGTACCAAAGAGAGGGGTAAGTATAAAGTACAGAATTTTGTTTTATAGTTTTAGGTTATAGGAATTTTGTGGCCTCTAAAAAAGAAGACCTTGAGTTGCAGAAATGCAGCCAGTTGTCCTCAAACTTTTTAAATATAACTAATCAATGCTCCTTTGGGGCTCTTCATAATTTTGTGGCTTATAGCTGCTGTTTGACTACAGTTGGGAAACCTTCTGTCAGGCAAAACTAGACCAAGCACCTAGCCCGTCAGATGAGCAGAGTTGCCTGTAAAAGCTCTTTCTGAAAGGTGCTTCAGGAGGGTTTCAGGATGACAGAGCTGGCCACTGTGATTCTTGTACGTAACTGTGCATCTCCTGACTGAGAGGTAATGACTTAGTACTGCTGATTCCTGGACAGACTGTGTACTTTTCGCAGAATAATTTGAATTGCGTACTTTGCTTATGTGAGAACGTTGTCTTTGATTATGTATATACATACTACTCTTGTTTTCATAGAACAACTGCTCCAGTTTTATTGGAATAAAAGACTGTAATCAGCTCATAACATTTGCCCAAACAAAACCCAATGTCAGATTATGTAGCATTGTTGTCCTGTAGGACATTAGAAGTCATCCTTATGCCTGATTCAGGCTTGAAGTGGCTGTAGGTGGACTGCTGTACTAAATTTTTTATGAAAGATTTGGATGAACTGGAGAGAATCCAGAGGATGGCAGTGAGAATGATCAGAGGCTCAGAAAACCTTCTGTGGAGTACTGATTGAAATAACTCTTAGTGTTTCATGTGAAGAGATTTTTCAGGGGAACTTGTAAGAGACTTCAGTGAGGAAGAGAACAGTCTGTTACCGCTCTCCATGATGTTTAGGACAAGAAGTAAAAAGCTTGAATCGCAGCAAAGAAGAGAACAGTGAGGGTAGTGAAGTGCTGGGGTAGACTACTGGTGTGTATGGGGAGGAGGGGTATAGAATTGCCATCACTGGATGACTTTACCGGGATGCATTTGTCAGGAATGATAACATTATAGTTTAACATCCCTTGGGACAGCGATTAGGTGAGTGCTTGTGGCTAACCCCTCTGATTTTGTGATTTCTGTTCCACTGCATGTCACACTGAACGTATGTATACTCCACTGTCAGTAAGATCCATCTAAAAGCACATCACAGTAAGCCAGACAGAGCTCTCATAGATGAAGACGTTAAAAGACTTTATATATGCCTCCGTTTATTAACAGCTCAATGTGTTTTAACTTGTGCTCTGAAATCAGCAGAGACCTGCTTGATCTCTGCACAGCAGGTATTCTGTATGGCAGTCAGGAAGCAGTATGTGGGGAAGGCTCTTGCCTTTAATTTCTTTCCAAATTGGATTTTATGAGACGTCTCCAGAAAGTTGTTACTCCAAACAAGGGGAAATACATTTCAAGTAGGTTATGTAAGTATGGTACAACTGTAACATAAAATACCCTGCATAGCAAAAGAGGCACTTGAAAATTAGTTTGAGTATGCAGGTGTAACCCTCAGGCTATTTTAGTGCTGAGTAAATACCAGTTTAGTTCAAATATGAATTTTTATAGTTTTTTATGATTTGCAACTCAACCCTTCACTGTGTCAAAGTGCACAGATCTCTCATTGTATCTATTTGAGCAGCTTTGCAGCCTTAAGTGTGGAAATAGGCTTGTCATTCTTTTCCTCAGCAGAGATCTCTTCCTTCGCACAGACTTCTTTTGTGGCTTTATCAGTCTGAGCGGAAATAAGCAGGTGCCATCCAGACATCCCAGCTGTAGCGTGGATTCTCTGAAGAAAATTCAGACCCTAAGTTTGTACATCTCAATACATTTTTGCCGAGTATGTTCAGCTGAGTCCCAGGACTGCATCTGCCTTGTGAGAATGATGACTTCTTTTTAGAAGCACCGATTGCAGCGGATGCCCTGTGATATTTAGGAGCAGGGCTGAGCTCAAGAAGCCCAAGAGCAAAAGTAAAATACTGTCCCCATACCACCTCATGGCTTGGTTGGGAATACCTCTAGTTTTATGACTGTAGTGTAATTTCTTTCTCATCATTTTATTAAACGTGACTGGCCTCCTCCTGAGTAAGGGATGGATGGGGTAGGTCAGCTCAATTTGATACAGGAACTAATGGCTAATTCTGCCTTCTGTGTAAACAGAGTGATAGGGGAAGGGCAGCACAGGAGCAGGAGGTGGCAAAAAATGTTTAAGTCCCTGTAGTTTCTGCCAGCATCCATGTTTGTACTGTGAAGCTGTTAGCCCAGTGCTGCCATACAGGGTGCAGGTGGAAATACTGCAAGATACTGCTCATACCAGAGAGTACTAAAAGGTGATGTAGGACTCGGTGTCCCCACCCTGGCAGTCTGCCTTTGTCACAGACTCCAAGTGTTACCCTCTGTATACTATTCCCTGAGAATTTCAGGAAAGGTGCTAACCTGTATGACCTGCATATATTCATATGGCTCTTGTTCTAGCTATGTAACTGAGCTGGGCAAGTTGGAGTCTAACTGCTAGGTTGTGCAGCAGGAAGGTCTGGCACGTCCTTGTGCTTGGAAAATGCTGGGTGCTTGTTAGAAGCTGCAGCTGCCCATGACTTTGTGATTTCCAACATCATTGTCCACTATCCCTAGTTCCCGGTTTGTTGTCACTAGTAAGTCTCTATCTCCATGCACAGAGCAACAGGAGAGACATCAAAGTGCAGACGAATGAGTGGACAATAAAGGACTCTTCTGATTTAATGGTTTGGTTGTGTGCACTCCAAGGCTTTCCTCTAACTTTCCTTCTTTAAGGCCAAGTGTTGAGAGTCCAAGTCCAAGGGCAAATTAAACTGGGTTCCTAACTAGGGAAGCTGTCCGTTTCATCTGAGAGAATGTTTCTTTCAGTAAACCCAATATTAATAGGCAACCAGGAATAGGTGGGTTGTAGCTCAGCGCTCTTTGTGTGCCTGGAAACTCTCAAGTGGCATCAGATTAGCTACCCCTCCCTCAAGAAATAAGCAAAATGAAAGCAAAAAGAAAGGAAAATTACAGTGTGTCTTTTGTTAGACAGGCCATATGTTAACTGACATTCCCCTGACTTTAAAGGTACTGGAATGAAAATCTTACTTTCTGCAGTTTGATGGATCTTTGTTCTATCATATCAAATGCTCAGGGCAGTCAGTTCCCATCTGTCAGTGATGCTGAAGGAATTTTGTGGACTGTTTGAGCTGGTTTTGTCAGAAATTTAGTTTACAGTGCTGATCTCTGTGCTAAGCAACAAAGAAAGGACTGCAGATTAGATGGTGCATTAAGCCCGTCCCTGAAGTATACCTGTAAGTCGTGAAAGGGTAATCGGGCAAGAAAATCTTTCCGCTCCCTCAGAAACCCTCAACACAAAACACAAAATGTGTTGTCTTCCAGTGTGAGTAGAGCAAAAATTCTTTTCCCTCGATACACTTCTCAGACAGGGAGTGTACTCAAATTTACGTGATGAAAGTTGATCAGTTGGATAGAATCCTCATTGCCAGTATTCTTACACATTATAAATCAGGTGACTGGGCTGGCATTGCTTTCTTGCACTGAAGAGGAATAAGATGCCTGTGATCTCCGCATGTGGAGAGATTCCTGCATCTGGCTTGGTTCCTAGCTGCTCCGAGTCTGATGTGCATGCTGTTAACAGAACTATGGGTCTTGTTCTTCAGAAAAAGGAAATATTCTGATACATGCCAACAGTATGTAACTAAAACATTGTTTTATGTGACTATACCGGTCTCTATTTATAAAGGTGTATCTTTTCCACCTTGTGTAGCACTGTAATGAAATTGGTTCTCAGAACTGATACGAGTGTGGTGTTCATTATTTATTAGTCCCACTGATCTTGATTCTAACTTGACTTGTTAGAGTCATCCTTAGATAATGCTGCTATGCACTGTACTCCATGATTGGACGTTGTAGAAATGATTGAGGTGTAGGCTGGAGACATGTGTATGAGAAACTCATTCCAAAAAATGTGCCTCGGATGCCAAGGAGAATATGTGATGTACACTTCTAACATATCTGTAACGGATTAGGTGATACTCATGTACGAAAAGCAGCAGCTAAGTTGCTAATCTTCTTCACATTTGTGAATTTATTGGAGAGGCTGTGTCTGCACTGAACTCAGTTTGAATGAAAGGAATGTGTAAATATTTCTTTAAGGAGACTAATCACCCAGAAATCTAAGGAGATTTTTCAGTGTTAACATTAGCTTTAATTGCCACTCTTAATCTCTTTTTTTTTCCCCAATCAAGTATTCTGTTTTCCAAAAAATACTTTCTCTTCTAATTTCGCATCAGTGAACAACAAAAATTATGGGGAATAGTTGGAAAATTGATCACGTGCAGAAGGTGATATATGTGCACTGAAGACCAGCAGGTATAGAGAAGAAGCTTCCCTTTCTGTGTTTTCCTTAAGTCCCAATTAGAAGGCATCATTCACAATAAATTATAAAGTAATTTACAGACAGTTGCATAACAGACTGTATTTTTTTTGTGAATATGCAGTTAGGCAGTGAGCCTATCTCTTGATAAAGATCTGTGTTTCATGGGGATAGGAAGTAAAGGAAGAGGGAAACACCAACTTTAAATTATTTTTTTTATTTGTTTTAGATTGTAACTCGTGTATTTTTTTATGTTAAGCAAATCTGAAACATGAAGGTGCTTTCAAATACCGTGTTTTACATCAACAGCTGTAAAGAGTGGGAGTTCATACGGTTAATGTGATGCACTTGCCATTAGCTGTAAATAGTCATGCCAACATAATTTAATAATTTATGATCATCTGTTCATAGCTAGAAAGTGCATTGAATAGCAGGAATATCTGAAAAAAGAAAACTATAGGAAGGGATAAAGAGAGAGAAGGGAAGAGAAACCAAAACTGAACAGGGAACAGAGATTTACAGAGATTCAGAAGTTAACACAGGAAAGAGTCACAAGCTTTGCATTTTAAATCAGTTGCAAGCCTTCACTGATGAATGTATTCACCCATGCTGGGAGAGAAAGG